CGGAGGTCTGGAGCTCTCTACCTGGCCCATTTGATCTCCTACTCATTCATTCACTCTTTCATTCACCATCTACTGATTGCCGACTCCAGGCTGACACTTCTACACCCATTATTTCATTTCATCCTCTTTACTCATTGAGGTCGACTCACCTAGTAGAAGAAAATAGAGCTCAAAGAGTCAAAAGGGCTGCCCAATATCATGGAGCTTGTAAACGGCAGAGCTGGGATTTGAATTTGCCCTAGCCACTGCAGCTCACTTCTCCTGTCCAGTTCCAGAGAAGTCCATGAGGAGAAAGGGTGAGGGAGAGCAGGTGCTGCCCGTCAGAACACCTCCCCTCCCCAGACTCTCGTAGCCACCATCAGCACAAAGCCAGGTTTTGGATGGGCAAGGGGCTACCAGTGCCTGGCACAGATGCTCAGCACTTGTCTGGGTTTACTTGAGAGAGCTGAGGAGCTGGGCTTTGGGAGAAGTTCCCAACACTCCAGAGCACAGGGAGCCCCTTGGGAACCAGCTATAGGGACTATGATGATCACAAGTTCCTCTCCATGAACTCAGGCACAAGTGGATAAGAACCTAACCTTGCCTCTGCTTCTAACTACCCCTATGACCCTGCCATCACCTACAGAGATTTAAACAACACCTGTGCTAAGGCTCCACCCCCAGAAATTCTGACTCAGTTGGTTCAGGCAAGGCTGAGCACCAGCATTTAGAGAATAAATAAGTATCCCATTGGTGACTTGGTAGAATTTGATCATTTCTCCCCAACCACCACTTCCAATCCCCCTCTTTACAAACTGCAGTCCTAGTACTTCTATTTGATCTGAAAACTGAGTCCTGATGACATCATTTGGCCACTAGATCCAGTCTTACCTGAAACCAGAACTTCCCCCCAGACTCTTTCTAGCTCTTTAATCCAAAAATTTCCCTTTTTGCTTAAGGCATTTTGAGTTGGGTTTCAATCTCTTACGACCAAAGTAATCTTAACAAAAATGTGCTGGTGGGTCTGTGGGAGTTGCCCCAAAGAGGACTCATTGGTGACCACACAGTGGGGACAGATGAGAAAGATCCAGTCCAGGTTGAGTATCCAGAGATGGGGGAAAAAATGCCTCGCACGTAATGCTAGATGCTCAATAGCTATTTATGAATGAAAGGAAGCACTACCTCCTAGGCCAGATGGATGTGGGTTCCACACTGATAGCAAGGAGAAGGGGGGCTACCTGAGCCGCAGGGGTTTGGGAACAGAGCTTTGGCAGATGATTGGTACAACACAGCAGTGGGAGTAACTACAGCCAAGGCCTGCAGCATCAGAAGACTTTGCTGAGGGCTCAGTGAGTGGGCCCTGCTGTGCCAGAGATGTGCAAGACTGGAGCCCAGAGTCAAACAGCCCAAGGGAACTGTTTTGTTGAGCCACTCCGAGAAGCTGGAGCCAGAGCTGAGGCCAGGGATTGCCACAGGTGAAGGAGTAACTTTGTGACTTGCATTCAAAAGGGAAAGGAACAGACATTTAATAAGTGCCTACTAAGTGTCAGTATCATCATTCCCATTTGACAGATGAGGACACTAAGGCTCAGTGAGGTCAGGGCACTTTGACTTCCGTGGCCTGATGTGGATAATTCAGGCCATAGGTTGAGTCAATCCACAGGAAGCAAGAACCACATTTCTATTTCTTTGGTGTCTCTGTAGCCCTTTGGCCAGGTACACAGAGCACAATGGACGGATCCAACATTGGCCCTCAATGAGCTCCCAGTCTGGTGAAGGATGCGGGCACAAAGACAGACGGTGACAGCCCAGGTTAGCAGACAGGTAATAGAGGGCTGCTTGAAGGACTGGAGGCTTTGGGGTGGGTGGGCTGACTGAGGGGTCTGGGCATGATAAGCCAGGACTCAGGGCAGATGGAAAGAGGGATGGGAAGTCCAGGCGGAGGGAACAGCATGGACAAAGCCTGAAGGCCCCAGCTGGGGAATGATGGTCCACAGTGCCATGTATCTGTGACATAAGGAATACAAGGGTAGGTGGCAGGGCCACGAACCCAGGGAGGCCCACCCAGGGCCTTCAGTGCCCCATTAAGGTGAGGAAGGCCCTGAATGGGTTTTGAGCTGGGTTGGGGGTAGAGGGCAGGGGAGACCTGATCCCCATTTGTGCTTTAGAAAGCTGAGGGTGGGCGGTAGGGAAAGGCCTGGAGATGCAGCCTGAGACTGAGAACCCAAACAGTGAGGCAGCTGGGGCAACAATTTCTGAACAGGCATGGGACCAGAAGAGGGGCGGTGGCAGGGGTTAGGGAAGGAGGGGACACACACCAGCCATCAGGACTGGGGTCTGACCGGCCAGGCAGGCTGTGGATAGGACTGCAGCCCCAGAGCCTAAGGATTCCAGCTTCAGGAGTCAGAAGGAGTGAGGGGACATGGGCGAGGCTTGGCTAAGTCGGGACAGGTGGATTCGGGGGCCCAGAAGAAAGGAGACTGGAAGGTGCCGGGGGAGCTGCGCCCAGGGCGGGAAGCGGGGGAGGCGGCGGCCGGCGGGGGGCCG